CGTTGAGTTGAAAGCGAGAAATTTTGTCTGCGGGCAGAGAGAGAAAGACAGGGGGGGGGGGGGGGGGGGGAGAAAGCAAGAGTGAGAACGAGAAAGAGAGAAAGAGAGAGAGAAAAGGGGGCCGCGGGTGTTTTCGTTGTTAGAATGACTGATTCCTGTCGTTTTCTCTCTGCGTCGGTTTACACTCTGACCCGGTGCAGTACAGTCATTATTGTACGCATTATGGCCAGTCCCATCTTCATACAGGTATTATAATAATGTCAATTCGGTCAGATCATTGTAGTCAGAGTCAAACTTTCACGTAAGAAATGTAACCAGTAACAATCTGACAAGACTATTAGATCTATATGAGCCTTTCCTAAAAGTTCATCCTTTTGAGGTACTGTTTTTTTTGTAGATGTATTCAGGGAGAAAGAGAATGGAAATCCAATCATATTTGGTGTCAATAGAACTAGTGAATGCCACTGTGACTGAATCTTACTCGATTAATCTTGCGATTTAACGGAGCATGCGCAGAAATCCCCACAGGCCAGAACACGGAACTTGCACAAAAATCCCCACGGACCAGAAGCCGCAGGCTAATTGAATGAATTCGTTCCCCGAAACATGCCCAGAAATAGCTACTGGCCAGTAGCGCCAGGCTAATCGACCAAATTCGTTCGAGTAGCAAAACGCTAGCCACCCCAGATCGGGCAACTAGCCAGTCCGTAAAATTAAAGGAATTCTAGTAGATCGTTTAATTTAACTTGCTATCAAATACCTGTCAGCCTCTTCACAACAAGAGTTCTGAGTAGGGTGGATGCATCATTTAGACAGGAAAAGCAAAGAAATATTGATTGTCTCTCACACGGAAAACCAGAGGAAAGGATCATCATTAAAAATTTTCTCTGTAAACAGTCGGAGCAATTATATGTGCTAACTTTGCAGTATATACACTACATATTTAACAGTGTGCAGTAAAGATAAAAAGCAACAAGCCAAAATCAAACTGGCATGGCTTGAATAAACACAAAAAATTAACTTTCACCTAAAGGGCTGGGTTTCAGAATATTTTTGATGTGGAGGAGAGGGAGGGTGGAGGTGGTGCAATTCAATAAGCACATCAACATTTCTCATGTAAAATAAAATAACAAATAAAATTATATTATGCACTGAGTAATACATCAAAAGGCAAATAATTTACAGCAGGTTTGACTTTCAGAAAGCAGAAAGCAATTGCTGAATATAAAAACCATCAACCGTTCTTTAAAAGATTCTTATACAAAAATACATTAGTAATTATGACAGTTACAAGGGCAGGATGGGTAAACAAAACAAGAGGCAAATTACAAAAATGAAAGAACATAGCACTGTCAGTAAGTAACACACTATTTTAAATGAAAAATGTGTTCACTGATGTCCCATTGCCTGCAAAATATCCATAAAATTAGAAAATCATAACAGCAGTACTGAAAGCAGCAGCACCGAGATAGCTCCCGCTACTAAAATGTAAAGAAGACTTTTCCAAATTTCTTTACAGCAATCAGCGCAACCAACAAGTTTACCCTGCAAGGAGTCAGCTAGGACATTTCCACACACTGTCCCACATGAATTTCTCTTCGTCACAGTTATTTTAACTTTTTATAGACAGTGCCTCAAAATGAAGAAGAATAAGAGTACTCTGGCCTACCCCAGCCAGCCCCCCCCCCCCCCCCACCAGACCCTAATTTTGAAGTTGCACCACTAAACCTGAAGAACATTTAATTCTGAACATTTTCCCAATGAAAAGTAATAAATGCCACCCACAACAGTTGAGCTATTTAGTACTAAACAACAGAGACCTACTAATAAGCAAATTCGTTTGGATTCAGGGTGGCTACAATCCCCTCCTGGAAAAAGTTGAAGTTGAAGGACATGACTAATGAAGAAGAGGAAAAACCATTTACTGCTATAACACTAGCGCACAACCTTTTGTCCTCGCGTACCAAGATGCAGATGGGGTACATCGGTACTACACCTGTATCTTGATAAAAACATCACACTCATCATGAAATTTCCAGCACATCGAGGAAATTCAACGTGATGAACAGATGATTGCATGTTCACCAAAAAAGGAATTAGAATTGGAACTGAAAACATTAGATGTAGCACATTCATCCTTCGAATTCTCATCATGGCATCAGCACTTAAAACAGCACTCATGTCAGGTCTACTCGACATTTTTCAAAAGAAAGTAAATTATAACTTTCACAAGTGTGCATGTCTAAAAAGAGATCATTCCTACAACATTTTTGTTGCTATATCACACTATCGCCGATCGGCATCTCGAGGGGCAAAGTGTTAAACATTCAGCCCACAATCCAATGACACCACAAAGGACACAACAGGAGCTTTTACACAATATATTTGAAAAGAAAAGACTCAAAACAAAAATGCTGGGGAAAGTCATGGCATTCTCATCAACATATCTATCTTGACGACATGTGAAAGGAAGGCATAACTTGTGTAGATAAACAGAAGGTTGTAGAACAAAAACTTTGGCACCCCCAAAAATGTGGAAAAGGAACAAACATTAAGTAAAGGTATGCATCATTATATCAACAATTGCAGTTTTGCACTAAATTACAGAGGAAGAATCAGAGTGCCCAACAGCATATCTTAAAATCAAATTTGATATAATATATTTAAAAAATATCAGCACCAAATTCAAATTATGCACCTGTCTGGCATAGATTTATGAACTGTAGCACATCATGAATAATTTAAGTAAAGCAGCAAAGCTTTGAATCACATTATTTTAAAATAAACAACAAGATTTTAACAATAAAATCAAGAGTAAACTTAAATAAATTTAATGAAATGCAAATGATAATAAATCTTTTGGAATCTTCTTTTCTCTATATCTTCCAGAGTATTATAGTACCATAATAATAATAGATAGTACAATGTTGCACCTTAACTCTTTTTCTCTGTGTAGCCTCAGTGTACATAACTTCCTTAGGATGTACATAGTTGCAGACCACATTCCCTTCATAATCATAATGCATGCCTCAGCTTGCTTCCCACCAATGCCAAAATGCTGGTCTGAGAAACACGGCAGCCAACACCGTCCTGTGAGGGTGGAAAATGAAGCACAAAAATTTGCAACGGTCATTGAGAATGTGGCATATACAGTGCTTTCTAGTATAATGATGCTGTAAGGGCCACTTGTCCAAGCCAATCATCTGGTATGAACAGCCACTTCCCACTTCTTCCCACTTCCCTCTTTGCACCTTTTTTTATGTTATAATGGCAATGTCAGAGACATCCACCTATCTCAGACAACCACTTTCCTCCTCAACAATGGATCTCCGTCTTGCACAACTTGGTCTGTAGTTATCTTCACGCAGAATATGTGTCAAGATGCATAAGTGAGGCATCATGGTGAAATCAGGCGCTCGTCAAAATGAGATCAAGGAAATCAGCATTTTTATGCCAATGGGCGGGGATCAAGGGCTGGTGAAGGGCCTCATTTAAAAGATGAGAAACACCCAAGCGTCTCATATAGCTTCTCCCAGTCTAGCCAACTGCACCTACTCGTGGTGATCCCTGTCTGCACTGACGTGGCTCTGGCAAATGGCGAATCGTTGGCGCCAACAAACCAACCCCCCTTTGCCAGGAGGGGTAAAATCAACAGGCTGGGAGTAGGTGTGACCCCACAAGGTGCGGAGGGCAGAACCCACTGGCGCGTGGTAGACGCTATGCCCCCCACAAACACACTCTCACTCTCCATTGAGTGAGTGTCCTCTTCTACTACCCTCACCTACTTCTTCTATACACTCCCTGTGGTTGGCTTGTGCTCTACCTTTGGCCCTGTGCATCTTCATGGATTCTCCTGGCCCCTGCAAGGATGAACACACCACTGGGTGGGATAGGCCTCGGGGACATGGCATGCCCAAACATGGACGTCTACGTACCGACACAAAGGATCCAGGACGTGACAAGCCGCTCGTCTGTGTGATTTTGGCTAAACAACGCTGCCAGGGTCAGACCAGATTAAGTTGACCCCCCAAAGCCCGCCAGGAGACAGCGGTGGCGGGGAATGGACCACAGTGGATCGTGCCTTGACCACATGTAAAATGGAAGCCAGTCCCTGCTCAGTGCGTTGCCCCACTTCTGTGAGAGACTAAACTTGTAGCTCAGAAAACCCAATGCCAGATGCAACGGACTGCTGGTAGATCACAGACCTGGGTGGGAAGAAAAGCCACAGGCTCCCCAGCAAATATGGCAAAGTATGCCAATGGGCAATTTTTTTCCAATTTTCTTTTTTTGGCTCAACACCTTTTATGTCCATTTAAAAATACATTTTTGAGTGAATTTTACTGAAAAAGATTGACTAAATGCACAAAAATGGTAAAATTTTCAGTTTCAAGGACTCTCAGACTATAGAAGTTACCAAAATTTTGCAGCCATTTTCTCCCTAATTTTACTTCCGAAACCAGACGACCTTGACTTTCAATTGCAAATGTTTCGATTTCTATTCAACTCGGATGGATATTTTTTTTCACCAAAAGGAGGGCAAATTAACAGGCTTTAAGACAATACCAATAACCCTATAAGCCCAAAAATAGACGAGCGCCTGATTCCACCACGTCATGACATATTGTATATATGTGAGGTAGCGTGGTGGAATCAGGCTCTCTTCAATTTTTGGGCATGTAGAGTTATTGGTATCATCTTAAAGCTTGTTCACTTGTCTTTATTTAGATGAAAAAAATATCCATTTGTCTTGAATACAATTCAAGATATTTGCGAATGAAGGAGGAGGGGTTACCTGTTTTCAGAGGTAAAATTAGTGAGAAATGGCCGCAAAAGATTAGTTATTTCCTTAGCTTAAGAGTCGGTGGTAACAGAAATTGTAAATTTTTTGTGCTTTTAATCAACGTTTTTCAGAAAAAATCCACACAGAAATAGTTCCTTAATGGGCATGAAAGGTGTCGAGTCAAAAAACAAAGATTTGATAAAAATTCACAAACCTGAGGAAAAATGCAAGTTTCTTCACTTTGATTGTTTTGACGAGAGCCTGATTCCACCACGCTGCCTCACATATACTCAAACAGAGGCACAGGTGTTTCTCTTTACAGTCAGTGACAAGATGTACAACTTTTAAACACCTGGTTTGGGCTGGAGATAATTTATAATTATCATACTTAGAGCATCCACAACTTTTATATCTGTCAATACATACATTTGGACTTCTGTCTGACAGGAAACTCAAGTTGAGAGAAAAATGAAATACAAAAATTAATTAAACTACTGCAAGAGTTTCTGGATCTAAAAGATAAAATACTTGTATCTGCAAATGTGACAAGTTCAGCCTGTAGCAATGACTAGACAATTGCCTCAGACTTGGTGTTTGGTCATTGCATCCCACCAAAACCTTGCATGCTATGGGACGTCTTCTGGGCGGAAACATCTGAAACAACAAGAAAGAGAAAAATTAGAGAAAAAAAAAAGTAAATGTTTTTAAGCCCCCATCAACACAATTTAGATCATTAAGGAGGCAGGCTTCCGTCCCTATCTGTCAGGGTCAACCCTGGCTGAGGGGGATACATCCAAGCAGAAAGGCCGATATAATCGATAAAAATGTTCCCCCACTCGAGAATCGAACTCGGGTCTCCGGCGTGCCACAGCGAAGCACTTAACTGCTACACAACAGACGCCAGTGACAAGAAAGTGAAAAACATTGAAATCTGAATACTGCTCAACATAAACATTATTTTTTTAGCCTCTTTCTCTTCAGTCTTCACATTCAGATTTTCCCTTATGTAAATGAAACTTGCATCTGCGACAGGTTATATTAAATTTTCTGCTGTTATACAATTACTACTACTACTACTACCCTTTTGAATATTCAGTTTACCAGCTATGAGTATGATAAGTCTTTTCTATAAAAAAAAAGTCTATCACGTCTTCTTAATCACCCAGAAAGTATCTGTGTTCTTGGTGCGCTCCAACAGTGCATTTATCTTTTTTCTCATTTCTTCTCATGGTTTTCCATACAATAAATCAGTCATGCAAAACTCATAACTTAAAACTTTTAAAGAGAATTCAACAAATCTCTCATCAAAACACCAGCAGAAAATATGCAGCGTTATCTTCTTTAAGTGCATAAACTTGAATAAAAATCGGAAAACAAGATAGGTTTTTTTTTGGGGGGGTATTTATTGGTAAGAGTTTTACGGTGTTCGCAACTGCATAAGGTCATATGAGCACGCGGGACACATAAAACTTTTTCAGTTGGTAGGAAATTTAGAGGTTTGCCCGGGTGGCGGCCAAAGCCTACTCTTATCGGTTTTGGACTATCAAGGGATCTTTCATGAGCGCAACTTGCAGACGGGGCCTCCAAGATTTTTAGCCCTTGCCTGAGAAGGCTAGGTGTAGATCTTTCCTACCATAAGATAAGGGGTGAGGCTGAAAGACGGCAGTAAGAAGGAGCCCGGGAGTAGCAGAGGAAAGGCTGCAGAAAGAGTCATAAGCTCAGAGGAGGGGGCAAAGGAAGTGAGGGGGTGGGGGCAGTAGGTGGACGTGAAAGCAGACGATAAAACATTGTAGGAGAGCAGGAAAGGAGGTGAAAGGAGAAAATTTAGAGAATAAATTTTCCGTCGCTATCCGGATTCGAACCCGGGACCTATAGAATCAGAGGCGAACACCTTAACCTCTAGGCCACAAGAGCCCCAAAAGATCAGTGTAAATTATAATCTATTTTGTCTGTCTGAAGGTATAACAAGTAATTCAACACAAACATGTCACTCAGAAAGTAGGGCATGAGACTCAGAGGGAAAGAGAAGGAAGAGGAGGGGAGAAGGAGGGGAGGAGGAGGATCACATAATTTCTTTAGGAGGAGAAAAGGAGTAGGAGGAGACAGAGAAAGAAACCGAACGGAAATAATGCAGATAAGAAAATTGAATTTCTTCCAGCTTCACCAAACTAGCCACTAACCTGGATGCCCGCCCGGCCACATGGAGGAGCGAGAAGGCATGGGGTCACTCCACTGCATCTGTATAGGCCGGTGACCCGTGTACAGCTCTGGAGGCTCCAGGAGATGGGTGCCCATCCCACCAGACACACCATGAGAGCTTGGCGGGGGCCACGTGCTCGAGTTCTGCAGAGCACAGGAGGAAAAAGAACTTTAACTTTGCGTACGGTCGAAGAAATTTTCACTCTCACAAAACTCTCCTTTTAACATAGAGCGGGTTGAATGAACAAGTTTATCATGTCTTTTTCTTAACAACCAAAATACATTGGAGGGTGGTTTGAGTTGGAAAGCCCAAAACAAATAGCACGATCACACTTTCCATTTAACCAGACCATCAACCAAAATGCTGCAACGTTTCAAAGACACAGACCTGAATATGGTGGCTATATTGGCTTCTGATTTGCACAAGCAGCTATGGGCATTCAGTTTTCCTCATTGGACGTTCACATAACAACAGGAAGTACAGTGGCGGAAATCTTTACATGCACTGGCTTCCTATAGTGATAGTGCTGTGACTAGAGAAACAGAAAGGAAGCACAGCAATATATACAGACTGGAACATCTCCTCAGCATTCCTTTGATTGATTAAAACGTAATTTGGGTATACATGGAAGAACAATGTTAAATCAGCTCATTCCAATACCATATACAAACTATGTGCTCACCAAGAGTGGTAACATTAGTGAGATTCTCATTGTCATATATACTGACCAGCCAGGAATAAGCAAGGAATGTCCCCAAAAGGACAGGGAAGGCTTCATCTAGTCATTCCTTTTCAGATCAGAAGCCCTGAATGTTCATTCCCTTTGAAACACTTAAACTATAACTATTTTTCTTTCCTCTGAATCATTACAGACCCTTAGAAACAAGTTTCAGGTACAATACAGAGCAGAGAAAAAAACTCACTTTTGCTTGTCCAGGCTGTCCACTCTCACCCTCTTCATCACTGCTGCCATCCCTGTTTGTAAAAGCATACAACTATTTGCTTAGTTAAATTCATGAAATAACAATCTTACAAAAGCAACACACAAGAAAGAGACAGAACTAAAAGAGAAGCACTGCAAGAAATAGTAGAACCAAACATTTATAGATCAATGACAGATGTCTGTCAATTACATTAGAACCACTATCCCTAAATGAGACCATTACCCATTCCTTAACTACAGTATAAACACCAAAAAAAATCAATCGACAAAGAAAATCAAACATTATAGTGAACATGTCCTCCCCCACCCCCCTAAAAAAAAATATTTTTTTTTTACTGTAACTACATTGTAATAAAGGCAGATGAACTGTCAGAAACCTTCATAAACAATACTCTGGTACAAGAGAGTGAGCACATAGCCTTACTTTGCTCCAATAGCTTGGGATAGGTCTTTCCCAACTGCGAAGAATTGATCCTCTGTAGACGAGTCATCACTGAGGTCACTACAGTCTTGAAGGCCTGACCAGCTCGAGGCATCCACAGCACTCCTGTGCACAACGGAGATAAACGCACAGCACAAACTGAACCTCAATTCTTACAAAAGAAAATATCAATATTTTCTTAAAATATGCAGATTGTTAAATCTGCCTTAAGCACTTAAGTTAGAATTGCAAAGAAAATGAGTCCAACTGATTCATAAGATTCAATGAAAAATAAATACCACCAAACCCACTACAACATGGCAAATAGAACGGCAAACAGTAAATTTCAGGTGCTTCCGAACACTTCTCCTCATTCCTGCAAGAGCAATAATTATAATTATCAATAACATATCTGAACAAGTAGGCCAATATACCTAAAATTGGTAAAGCTTTATGCTTATTAATAAATAATTTGGGATAATAATGATGATCACAAAACCTGGGATAGTAGGTAAGACAATTGCCCACAAGTATCCTTTAACACTTTGTCATCATATTTGGGGGGAAAATCCAAAGAAACTGGGCGATAAACAATGCCAATCAGTGAGATGAGGCGGCAGGCAAAGTGTTAATCCTGGCCTTTTGCTGTTCAGACATTAAGATATTTTAAAGTAAGTTTATATCTTGGTTCAGAATTATGACATTATATGATGTATGAAGTCCATTTCAAAAGTTTCCCACATTTAGAATAGAAAAAAAACTATCTGGGAAAATAATATGAAATTTGGCACAACATACATTTATCTTAAATTCTATTCAATGTAACCATGGTTGTTATCAATGCACTTTTCAATTTGCTGCAACCAATCATCAAATGCAGCGATGAATCTAAACAACTTTGTCTTGATTTTGATGTAAAAAGTATTCATCTGTCGTTAATAGAAGTTGAGAACTGTGTGGTAGGAGTGGGGGTCGTTTAGCTTCAGAGCAAAAAGACCTTCTTTCACCTGTCCCTACCTAGCATTTTCACAGTGGTCATGACAACAAGCTGTGTCAGGTTGTTCAGAAGGCATCTCACCATCCATGACTGCTATCAGTCTTAAAATAAACTTTCATCCATTTCCTTACTGTCTGAACAACAGGGGCATATTCTCCTAAGGCAGTCAGAAGGACTTCCCATGTTTCTAAGGCAGACTTACCCAGGCAAACAGAACATTTTATTACTCAAATGTCATATCTTGAAAAGGATTCTTTAATATTTTGAATCTGTGTTTTGCCTGCCATTGTGCTCTAGATGACATTACAAGGTGATGTGTTATTCAGTGGTTATTCAATATTTTCAAGCAAAACTTTACGGGAAATTTCTAAATTGGTTGATATGCATAAATGCCAAGTTTCATAGTCAAACTTAAAGCAACACATATTTCATGGACAAGAGAAACTTATCAATGAAATTAATCTCGTACAATCAAGATATACTCTACTTACTAAAAAAACAAATGTATTTTATTTGAGAACATAAGACTTGACTACTTTTCCCAAATCAGTTCATAACCTCTTACAACATGATATTTAATTGAACGGCACCTGTCCAATAGAGGAATGACTGACAACAACAACACCTAACAGCATCAATGCAGCTGTTACACAGTTACTCACCCTGCAGACATGGGAGAGAGACCCCCGTACATAGGCCAGGTGCCATGCTGCCCCGCCCCGGCATCTAAACTCCCGCCCAGCCTTGAACCACCAAGACCGGCAGGACCACCCCTCCACTGCAATGGCGACAGCATGTTTGACCTCATGCCCCCAAGACCCCCTACCCCCAGGGTGTTGGCGTGGTGGGCCCGGAAAGGCGAGGGCGGGTCATGTCGGAAGTAGCTGGGGCTGGGCAGATCGCGCACCCCGTGGCCCGGGGAGGGCGTGTCCCTCATGTATCCTGGCACAGGGGACGGAGGCAGCGACTCATAGCCACCCGTGCGCTGGCCGGTGGCGGAGAAGATCTGGACGGAAGGGAGGCTGGCTCGGTGGTGCAACAGCTGGTGGGGCCATGCGTTCCTGCCCACAGCAGAGAGGTCCAGGCAGCCTTCAGACCTCCTGTGTACCTGTGGAATAGGGCAGTAAAGGGACCATTTGTAGCTCTTGTGGTCGTTGCTTTCAAATTATTATCCTGAAATTCATAAAATTTGGGAGGGGCTTTCTACTTCTAAAAAAAGTACAGAAAATGTTTTCGGCCTACACTATATCATAGTATATGAAAACTTCCTTCCAAATCTGCAAAGTACTACCATTTTAATATATCACATATATGTTTGTGTGTGTATCAGTAAAAGTTGCTAACAAACCACAATACTAATCACTTGTTCTGACAACGAAAGGCAACAACAATATTACTTCCATTAATTTATGAATGAGCTCAACCAAAACAATAGAATTCATAGTAGCGCCATGAAGTAAGTTTTTAACCGTATATGTGTCACGAAGCAGTGGAGTCAGGTGTCTTCAATTTCTGGGCCTGTGGAGTTATTGATATTATCTTAAAGCTTAGTTATTTGTCTTGATTTTGATGTAAAAAGTACTCATCTGTCGTGAATAGAAGTTGAAATATGTGTGGTTGGTAGAAGGAGGTGGGGATCGCTTGGTGCCAGAGCAAAAATTAGCGAGAAAATGGCCGCTTAAGTTTGGTGACTTCTTATGCTTGAGAGTCCTTTGAAACAGCACATTTACACTATTTGTCTTTGATCCACAGTTTTCAGTTAAATCTACACAAAAAGTGTGTTCTTAAATGGTCAAAAAAGGTGCTTAGTCTAAAAAAGACAATTTCTAAAAAATTGCCTACTGGCTAAAAAAATGTCGGTTTCTTTGATTTCATTATTTTGACGAGCGCCTCATTTCATCACGATGCCTCATATATAAAATTTATTAAGTGCACAAAAATGAATAATTAACTGAGATTCCTTCCAAGACAAAAAGACTGAGAGAGGGAGGAGAAAAACTGATATTATTGCACACTATGTCACGCAGAAACAGGAAGGTCTCTCTTCGGGTACATGGAAAAACCCAACCCCAAAGACCCTTCGAATCTCTTATGTAGAGTCGATCAGACTTTGATCTTCAGAGCCCGCACAGGACACTTACACACCAACAAGCACATAAACAGAATTAACCCCATGTGGGAACCCCATTGCAGACACTGTGACTATCACGAGGAGACCACTGAACATCTTCTCCTTCACTACCAAAACCTGGCAGTTCTTCGACGCAGGCTCCTACACACACCTAGAGACTTACAAAGCCTGCTATACTCTGGCGCTGACCATATGACAAGGAAATGTGGTTACTTGAGGGAGGCATTGCGCTGCCAAGAGCGAAAAGCTCGCAGCTAAAGGGATTTGTTTGTTTTAGTAGAGGTTTTACGGCGTTCGCAACTGCATAAGGTCATATGAGTGCCAGAAGAGTAGAGGTGTTACAAGAGAGTAACAAACATAAAAAAGAAGGAGGGGGAGATAAGGACGATAGACGTTTGATAGGAAAGAAGAAGCAAACCACACCGGAACATCCGCCAACCACCCACCTAAAGGGATTTGAAAACAACAATAACAACGAGCCCAGTGTCACTAAAAATACTCACCTGCGTTTTAACATGCGAGATCTCATCCAGCTGTGTGTCTGAGGCAGGACTGGCCACGCGGTAAATCTGTGGCACGGTCAGCTGCAGGGGGTCCTGTGGCGGCACCTCCGGAATGACCTGCATGGGTGAGCCGGGACAGCAGCCTACACCGGACAGTAGGTTGATCACACTCTCCAGCTCTTCCTCTGTGGCCAGCTGTGACTTGGCCCCTGATTCGTGGAACGGGACGGAGAAAGTTAGGCTTTAGGTTTTTAAAAAAAATGTAGATTTCTTTACAACACTATTTAGATCAGTTAGGAGGCTTGGGTTCAGACCTTGCCTGTCAGGGCCAACCGCTGAGAGGTATACATCATTTCAGCAGAAAGACAGAGACCCACAATAACAATCTTTCCCCACTCAGGAATCGATTTTGAGTCTCCTGCACGTGATATACATGGAAGCTTTTAACCACTACATCACAGATGTTGGTGGTAGGAGGGAGTGTGTACTTAATTACTTACAAATTGTAATATTTGTAATTGTATAATTTATTATGCTCCCATCGACACAATTTAAATAATTTCTGAGGTGGGCTTCTTGGATTCTCTCTGTAAGGGCCGACACGGATACAACAAAAGGATAGGGGAAAATAGGAACCAACCAGCGCCCCGCTACCCCGCTACCCCTCTCCCCCAATCCTAACACCTTGTTTGCTTAGACAAACAAATGTACAGAAAGGTAGAGTGCATGTTCCATATTCTCATAGTGGTTGAAAGTTGAAGAATGCCAACTCCAATCGTGTTCTCCTCCAACACCTTTTTCACTCCCCCCCCCCCATACACACACAAAATTCCGTAAACACTTCTCTTGTTTGTATTCAAGGAAAAATATTCTGACTCCTCTTTACCTTAGAGTAAGAAGCATATTGAAACCTTTGCTGCTGAAACTACTATAACTGCTGAAATGAAGATGAAAAAAATTTCAATCTTCCAAAGAGCCCCCACCTCCCTCACAAAGAAAAGAAATTTGAAATCAAAGCTCTTACCATTAGCATTTGTGGCTGCATCTCCTCCAACAGATCTGCAAGAGAGGAGGTCACCCGAGAGCTCTGAGCCACCATAAAATCCAGAGGAAAACTGAGGATTCCCACTCCCCCCAGAAAGGGCACCGCACCTGTCCTCTTCAACACTGCCAGCAGTAACGGAGACGGTGGGAATACCCTCACGAGGAGGAACATCTGGGTTGCCCGTTTTTGGTTCTTCTACATCTACGTAAAAAGAGCTCTTTCTCTCATCTGGTGGAGTTTTGCGTTCAAACAAGGACATGATTCGGAAGCCAGACCTCGCTGGACTTTTACTAGAGTCTGTGCGTGACTTCCTGGTCTTTGGGCTGCCCCAGGGAGTGTTGGGAAGACTGGAGTTTGATTTGCTGGGTGAGTCTAGACCATCGGCCAGACCCAGCTTCAAGACAAGTTTTGTGACCTCCCCTGCTGCTGGATCCTCCCCCTTGAGGCAGAGCAGAGAGTGGACCAGATCCACCATCTTGTTGTGACACAGAGCAAAATACTGTTTCTTCAGCTTGGCAAACAGAAGCGAGATATGACACAGGGTCTGGGGACACAGGGCAATTAGAGCAACTTAATGATTAATGTCATTGGAGAAAGGATTTGATGAGAACAAGATGCAAAAACATTAAATGAAAATGAGATAGACAATTCACAAAGAAAAAAAGATTCTTCCCACTTCACTAGATCTACAAAAAACAATCCATTCACCAAGACTAAAGTTTGTCATGTTTGTAGAGAGGAGGATGAACACAAGACTGACTGCTTGTACAGAAGCAATGTTGAAATTGAAATTAAAACAAGTCACCTGTGTCCATTATCATTACATTTTTAGACAGAATACATCTTCATGTCTTGCTGCTGATTTTTCTCTGAACTTCAGTATAAAATTCTCACCTGTCCATAAACATGAGAATCCTCAGGATGCTGCCTATTTGAAGTTTGCAGACTGCTGATCATGAGCTCCATTTCCTTAAGAAGAGTAGCACTGGACTTGGACATGGCACTCATATACACGTCCCTGAGGCGACAGCTCAAGGTGTCAGCAACACACTTGTATGGTGTGTTATGTAGAGCCTGAGCCAGACTTTGTGTTAACAGCGTGCCCGCACTATCCATGTGACTGAGAGCACTTTGCAGTTCTAAGATACCTTGGTAACAGCCTTGCAGGAGAATATGAGAAGAGGGTTGGTCTGGGTCTTGGGCCTGCCAAGATGTGACCCTCACTTGGGAAGAACTGGATTCTGTATACATGCCTGTACTTGAATGTACAGTCGACATCACTAATTGGCAGTTTTTAGTGGGACTGATGGTAATGCTTTTTCCTCCTCTTTTCTTTTCTAGATTTCCTTTTCAGCTTCGTCGTTTTTCAGTTCTGCAAAATTTATCCTGGTGGGTTCAGGATACCACTCAAAGTGCTCAACTCATAATGAAATATTAGTATAAGATGGACAAGAAGACTGATGTAGAAGACCAACCGTTTTACTTTTCAGGAAAAACAAAAGAGGTCCCCTTTCATTTCACTTTCTTCACTTTGACAAATAACATGCCAAACAAAATAATGCAAACCCTGGTGTCTTGACAACTTCTTTAACGAAAACAATTCAATATTTGTTAGCCCAATAACCTAATTAACACCAGGGTTTGCTGGTAGTATTTTCAGAGTTTAGCGCTGGCAGCTGACCCTCAATACTTGTGGGGACACATTTCACAGCGATGAACAGTTGTCATTTTCCTGAAAAATATAAAATATTAAAATGAAACCAAATTATTCAACACATTACAGAGTCATCCACAGCATACGCTTTCACTACTTTCAGTTTAATTTTAGTTTAAATTCCAGCACAAACTTACTGTAAATTTGTTGCGTTTTGGACTTGTAGTTTGTTTTACAGGGTCAACAGTTTCAAGCCAGCAGTAGACAGAAAATTTAACAGAGAAAACAGCAATGTCCCCATACATCTGTCAGCCACAAAATTTAGTCTGGTCTTGTCAACTTGACAATATTTCGGTTTATATGTTGGTATACTAGTTTTGTCACACCATTCACAAAACAAAGAGCACAGATTCGAACAACAGTGGAGGCCGCTTAAACTGAAATCTGCAGGATCACTGGTTTTTCTTAGGCTTAGCAGGGTTTTTGGCTCAGAGAGGTTGCTCAAAAAGAAAAAAAAGACGAAGGACTTTATTTTATTTTGGTTTACCGAGGTTTCCGATAACCATGTTCATCTTTAACGTAATGGACTCCACTGTAGATGTAGAGTCTAAATCCACAAGTTTGCACAAAAAAGAGGGGAAAATATCAATAGTTTCCATCCATACATTCAGTCTAAAGGTATTCCCGTCCATTTATTAATACCTTCTAATAGCTGGGGCCTGAAGTAGCAGAACATTATGATTAGGAGACATGTTAAAATTTAAATGAAAGATCTAGATCAAGGCCCGATTAAATTATCATTACGGAGTGTCTACGTACACAGTAACCAGGCACTTGGTCTCAGTATCTACGTACATGGTAACCGGGCACCTAGTCTAACCCAGACTCAGTATCTACGTACACGGTAACCGGGCTCCTACTCTCAGTATCTTCTATGTACACAGTAACCGAAATGAAAATAAATCAATATTTGACCTGTGCTGTCACTGGCTGAAACAAAAAAAGAAAGTCATACAAGCGTCTTGTCGGGCTCGCCATCGTGACCAGTCAGTGAACCTGCGCGTGTGCATCACATTGTGAGTACCGGTAGAGGCCACCAAAGTTCATTCAAAGTCTGTGAGCTGCGAAGTATAGGGCTCCACAATGGGAGGATTATTGATTTTTTAAAAAAAGTACAGTCGGGGGGGAGGGGTGGGGATGAAGGCAACACAGGATGACAAAGACTGAACTTGGAGTTCTGAACTGCCCGGTTACCCTGTACCTGACACTGAGACTACATGCCCAGTTGCCGGTTACCGTGTAGGTAGATATTGAGGCTACATGCCCGGTAACCGTGTGTACATGACACTGAGACTACGTGCCTGGTTGCCGGTTACCATCATGTACGTAGACACTGAGGCAAGGTGCCCGGTTACCGTGTACGTAGACTGTCGTAGACACTTCGTTATCATTATGTAGGTCTACACAAACACTTACAGAAAGGAAGAGGTTAGCCGTACTGGCGATTTTGTAGTTTCGTTCGTTAAAGTCAAGAGCAGGGGGGTTTCAGGGTCAGGGGGGAATAAAAAATATGGAGGTGGGAGGGGGGGCATGCCCCCTGAATTTTATCCTAATTTGATGTTTTGCAGTTAGGTTGCATCCCTGCTCTTTGTGTAGCCTATTTCAAATAGTATTTGGTCATCAAGACTTCTGGATTTCTTCTCTGGATGTAATGTAAACAAATGGATTGTGGACTTTAACGAACGGAACTACAAGATCACCGCCGTACTTACGTTAATGACAAGCTATAGGACTATAGGCCTAGACTCTAGATCTAGAATCTAGCTGAAGTTGAGGAAGATTGAAACCATCAACCAGCCAGTCAATGTGAATGATCTCGGAAAATTCAGTTGTCAGAAATCAAAATCAAGACTATTTTAAAGTCTAAAGTTAAAGACTAAAAACTAAGACTAAGACTAGAATCTAAGTCTAAGACTAAGACTAAGACACTTCACTAAGACTAAGTTACTAAGACTAAGACCTAAAGTAAAGTGTAGTCTAAATCTAGAACCTAAAAAGCAAAATATGTTTCTTACTAGAGTCTAGATCTAGAACTAGTTTCCAATCCACCTCTAGGTCTAGGGATATGTAAATATTGGGTGGACACTCGGAATAACTATGACCAGTAATCTGACGTTGGATTCGTTTCTTCAACATTTCCCTGAAGTGGGCAGTGAGGGCAGGAGAGACAGTCAACAAAATAACTGACCACAAAAATGGTGTGTAAACAGAACCCAACCCGCTATTTAGTCTATGGATTTCTCCATTCATACAACTGTTGTGTACCAATATTATAGTTACACAAGTTTAGGGGTGCTCCTGACATAAAACAGTTAGTGAATATTTTCGGGGGAGGCAATATCAATAACATAATATTTTAGATAGAAAACCTATTATTTCATCAACCACGCTGGGAATTTTATAGAGATTGCAGAGTGGTTGATGTGACGGATGTAGGTTTTTATGGCACTGTTCATTAAGTTATGGGACAAATAACATCCCTGAACCCGGAGATATCGATTTCTTTGAAATGCAGGATTAAATCGTAGCTGGAAATCCTGCCAGAGCTTGGTTAAATTTTCAAATTATAATTAACGTATTTTAAAAATCAGTTCTCGTTGCTTTTGTGTGGCCTCTTTGCTTATTTTCTGGGGTACTGTTGTCATAATGTGTTTTTTGCCATGTATTTTAATGCTTAAACTAACTTTAATTTATTATTAAATACAACTCACAAGACAGATAATACGCTTATGAGGAAAGTTTTATTGATCCCAAGAGAAGAAATTGACACTATCATTTCCACAGTTTCAAGGACGCCCCCCCCCCCCCACACACACACACACACACATACACACACACATAGGCACACACACACACTTTTCTCTATCTCTCTCTATCTGTTCTCTCTCTCTCTCTCTCTCTCTCTCTCTCTCTCTCTCTCTCTCTCTCTCTC